AAATGCGGAAAATGATACTTTATCGCACGCAAAGCGCAGTTTGGTCAAGCCGTTAAGGGTGGTGAAGGCACTTTCCGCATGTGTTAGGCACAACATTTTACCTATGAGCATCTACATCTCCAAGCAAAGGCAGTAATAAAATTAATTAACGATTCAGATTAATTAATGAAATTAGATTAAATTTAAAAATGATCAAAAATCCCTTTCCTAGAAGAGAAGGGATTTTTGATTAACTTTACCGCACTCTATGCGGTAAAGTAACTTTACCTACGAGCGTGCGGTAAAGTGCACTTTACCGCACTTATTTGCAAATGGAAAGTGGCACTTTACCGCACACTATGCGGTGAAGTTACTTTACCGCATAGTGTGCGGTAAAGTTAACTTTACCGTATAGTATGCGGCAAAGTAGACTTTGGTATTTATGATTAAAAATCCTTTCTTTTTCAGGAAATGGATTTTTGATCATTTCTAAAATCCAATCTAATTTCATTAAGTAATCTGATTCATTAATTAATTTTATTAATGCCATTTTTTGGAGATGTAGATGCTCATAGGTAAAATTTTGTACCTAACATATGCGGAAAGTGCCTTTACCGCCCTTAACGGCTTGACCGAACTCCGCTTCGCGTCGTTCGGTCAACTGCCATTGCGTGCGGTAAAGTATCACTTTCCGCATTTGTTAGGTAAATAACTATTATCTCACACTTTGCAGTCTACTTCACCACACACTATGCGGTGAAGTTAACTTTACCGTACACTATATGGTAAAGTAACTCAACCGCATGGTGTGCGGTAAAGTGCTACTTTCCATTTGCGAATCGGTGCGGTAAAGTGCACTTTCCACATGTTCGTAGGTAAAACTCATTGAAGTTGTCGATATTAGTCAGTACAAAAAGTTAATATCTTTGTTGAAGAGAAAGAACGGAGGAACGTAATTTCGAAAAAAAAAAATTTTTTCAGAAGCATGACATAAGGAGAAAAATTGAAAAAAAAAACTGTGTGGAAAAACTTTTCTCGCGCACGCCGGTCTGTTTTTTTTTTTCACGCACACTGTGCGGAAAAGTGATACTTTCCGCACGCAAATCGGTGCTTGAAAACGCGTTTTCTGCACGCTTGTAGGAAAACCTTCATTAAAAACTGCTATTCCATCAAAGTTACTACCAGAACGTGATGTTAAGTAACACTTACCGCTGATTTTATAATATGAAATTAATTGAGTAACAATAATTATTGAGATTATCCGTCAATTAATTTAATGCTAATCGCTAAGCAGAAAAAGTTTTTCCATAATTTTTTAAAACCAAAAAATTATTAACGTAAATATTCTTAAAAGACATTCTTTTTCAAACTCCCCCTGTAAAAACATTACCAAGTACAATCGGGACCAGCGCCCTCGTATTTGCTTCTTATCTACAAATCGGCGCGTGCTGACATGATTTACGACCTTCCGCAAAAAAAGCCGGCTTTTTGAGGAGATCAAAGGAGTGACCGGACTTGTTCGAGGATCTTTAGACTTTGGTTCTACATGATAATGGGTACTGATTGCTGTGACAATGGAATTATCGTTCCATTTGACTAATGAAATTTGAGTGGATTCGTCAAATTGTGAATCATGCTTGCCTCTCCCTTGTTTTGAGATCACTTTACTTGAAACCAAAGGACAATTGCTTGTTCTGTTTTCACGAATAGTTCCTGTGGCGAAGAAACCTTTGGTTTTCAGAAGAGATAACAGTTTGTAAGAGGAAAAAAATTTATCAAAAAAGACGTTATGATTTTGCGGATTTTTCACAATTGACAAAAGTTCAATAACTACAGTCGCACCAAGTCCAATATCAGTTTTCTTTTCTGATGCTCCTGCATAAGGAATGAACTTGTACAGGTATCCACTCGAAGAACAGATGCACCAAAGCTTGAATCCAAAACGGACAGGTTTGCCTTTTATGTACATCTTACAAGAATGACGTCCAAAATAAGGAACCATCTGCTCATCAATGGACAAGTTGAATGAAAAAACCAAACTGTGAGAATTTTCGATTCATTATATCAAAAAAAGGGCGGAGTTTTGTGTACTTGTCTGCTTTATCCAAGTTATTATTATCGCTCAAGTGCAGGTTTCGCTTTATCGATCTGAACTTATTCCTACTCATGCAGTCTCTCACAATATTCACGGTTTTGTCCTCATCCAAAGACCAATACATATCCGTCTGTGGCAAGCTGTGATATCCAGATAAAATTAGAATCCCCAGGAAATTTAGCAGTTCTTCTCGTGATAGATGAAACTCGTGTCTGTTATTATCCTGTGCGTATTTCTCAGAAAACTGGATTATCAAATCCATGACATCCACGTCGAGGAACTTGAAGAAAATTTCTAACGGTGACAAATCCCCCAATTCACCCTTCAGTTCTTGAATGTGTTCCTCTTCTTTGGATAGAGGCAAATTTTGGTGCACAAATGATCCAGGGGGCCAATTTTTGACAGTTCGCAAATATAGAAATGTATGTAGATTGTTCCTAAATCTGCGAACAGCCACAAGTTCTAATTTTTGGCCGTTCGCAAAGTTTCGTATGCGCATATTTTCATTCGCTTTTCTGCGAGCGGTATTCTAGTCGACTTATTCGGTTTGCGTATTCGTTTTTCTTGTGTCAAGTGGGGATGTTAGGTTGTTTTTGTTTGTTAGTTTGTTTGATAGCGATTTTATTATTGGATTATTGTGTATCTACTATCTCTGTATCTGGGAGGGTGGTATATGTTATGCTACAGCTCTTAGCCACAATTATGCCCATTGTGCGCCTCCACAAGAGGAGAGGGGAGAGGTCATCATTAGCTCGTCATCCAGCCTAGCGATTCTACGTAGGCGATGACGTCGCCGAAGGCGGTACCTCTGATCTCTTCTAGTGATGGGTACGATTGTCTAATCTGGCTCTGCGTATTGGCGAAAGAGCAGTGCAGTCACAGAGAATGTGCTCTATTGTCTCATCTTCTTGATTACAAGGTGTCTCTACTATGATATAAAACTTGATGAATGTACTGGCAGTTCGTAATTTGGACCTTGGAGTTATGCTTAACCCAGGGGTGACTTGCTATTGAGAAACCGGCCCACAGACAGTTTATTAAAGGGTGTTCATTTGTACTTGTTCTACCTGCTCAAAAAATCAGGAAGATCTGCTAGGAGCTGCTATTTATCAGCTTATATGAGACAAGTGAACGCCGATCTTCTGCTGAGATCTGCTTGAAGCAAGAAAAGCACTACAAATTACAAATAAACACCTTATTAATATGTTTTGATTGTCGAAAGAGCTTGTTAGATATTTGGTTGAATGTTTAGAACGTCATACACGTCCCGGTACAACGACCAACAGATTTGGATATCTTGACTAAAGTAGGTAATGAATGTTATTTAGAAGGTTGTTTTGCAATGTTTGCTATACAGTTAGTTCAATGCGGCACTACTCATAGGTCTTGATTGCGTTGAAATTTTTCGCAAGCGGTAGCTATCAACCGGATTAGCTGTAGCTTGCTTTTCACATACTTCACAAGTTTCCTTTGCTTTTCACTGGCATTCGCGTCCCTTTTCTTTTAGTTTTTGTCACTGCTTTCTTCCATAATTTACCACTATCGTAAACATCCACAATTCTTCAAACTTAATTAGGCAATATACTGACCTGTCAAAAACAAAATTCAATATGGAAGTTCGGGTCAAGCATTGGGTCAAGCACTGTTTGCGCCAGGGTTTTTCTATTTAGGTAAAAATGCTTGGCAACGCCGCCTGTTGAAAAATTTGTGGGTACCAAAAAGATTTGGGTCAGTAATAAAATATTAGCGACGGAAAGCTAATGCAAAAATATAATTGATATTTTTCGGGTCGGCAATTTGCGGGAAATTAAAGTATTTTCAAAGTTGTGACAAACTTTTATCGGCTCGCGATCTTGTGAAGAAATTTACTCATCCTCTACGCATCCTTTTTCCTCTTCCTAGCTATTCCAAATATCTTCCCCTTGGGTAAAAAAAAATGAAGTTAACAAATTAAGTGCAACGAGACCGGTAAGCATTGTTTAAATTAACTATATTTAGACCAACTGAGCTACGAAGGAACAAGCACTGTGTTGTTTATTCTGTATGTCATTGATTCTGTCACATTCTGGACAAACGTCCATATTTGAATTATCGGATTTTGTATTTTTTTGTGTGTTTAGGTATTGTGTCAATTAAAATGCCAGCGATTTGCATCGTAATTGGGTGTGGAAGTCGAGATAACAGGAAAAATGTGAAATTTTATTTAGTTCCTGCTATTTTAAATCATTGGCAACGCAGGGCTTTATGGATTGCTGCAATTAAAAGAAAGGATCTAACAGAGGCTCAATTTTCCCTTAATAATAATACCTTAAAATATTCACTCTCCATCTCAGAATTTATTAATAAATTAAAAAATACGTAGAAACACTATAAACACTATAAATATCACTTTGAAAACAACAAGGGCCAGACAGAACACTAAAAAATACGTTGAAATACTAAAGACTATAAAATTCACTATGAAAACAACAATGGCCAAAACCAATAAAAAATACGTAGAAACACCAAAGACTATAAAATTCACTTCGAAAGCAACAAGGGCCAGAACACAAATGTGCACAAATGCTCTCCTTATGAACGTCACCGGCTTGTCACCCTTGTCACGGCAATATTTGACCCGAACGGCCATTAAAAAATCACGTGATTGAGATTGCCTAATTCAAAAAGGCAAAAACACGTCAAAAATTTGTCAAACATTCTAAAATTTCCGACGTTGCCAAATCAACCATACGTATGTTTACGAATTTGTAATATCTACGTTTATCCATTTACGCACACCGGTCAAAAATGGGTTTATAGATACGTATACGTTTATTTTTGTTCGCAAATCTTCGAATACGCAACTTAACGTATATTGTCAAAAATTGACCCCCAGATCTCCAAGTCGGTTTGAAACTCACTGCCTTGTTTTCTAGAATTTTTCGACGTTTTGTTGCCAAATCTTCTTCGTCAGATTCGTCATAAATATCATCTTGAGCGGTGTGGATCTCGAAGGTTCCTGCTATGTCTCCATTCTGGCTATTTACGATATTTTCCGGGTCCTCTGAAAGATCCTCTTCGTCAGTGAGTTGATCTACCTCCGGTGGAATATAGACAGCGTCAATTTGCTCTGGATATCATAAAATAATGTTGAATAATGTATAACAAAAAAAAAGAGTCAAGAGTGCTTACCATTTTCATCGTGAAGCTCGTCTAGCTCCTCCCCCAAGGCCAACTCTAACTCCTTTTGCGTGAGAAATTTTCTCATTTTTCACAATAAACAACAAAAAAATATAAAGACTTTGGGTAAGACGCACTCGATTAGATGCAAACTCAGACTAAAAACTGCATGTCTTGTCAATTAAGTTATCTGCTCGAGAAAACGGAAAACTTGTCCTGACAGGCTTGCGACATGGGATTTCACTTATTCGGCCGGCGATGCGTAAACGCAACAGCCTAATTCAGGGCCTACTCAGGAAAAAACAGGTCCAATTAGACCCCAGTTTTCAATTTGATAGTGTTACTGGGAATGTAGTTGGTGAAATAAAAATAATAAAACCTTGAATATAAAACTTGAAAATGAGTTTTTGATTTTATAAAATTTTGTAGCCATTCAAAGGAAAATTGAGCTTTTTCAACATTTCCCAAAAAAAAGGCAAATGAAAAATTTCCTTTAAATATGATTTTATCAACCTTGTTCAACATTGGTTCAATGGTATTAGCCCATAGTTCACGCCAAAAAACCGCCCATTTTTCATGAAAAAATAATAAGTGCGGCGCACAGTGCGGCGGATTTGAATTCTAGCGGGACAAAACCGAATTTTTTAGAAACAAGGTAAAAAAAGTTTGTTGATAAGAATAGATAGTAGACATTCTAATTGATATAAAAATTCAACAATTATTGTTATGGATTGTATATTCTTTGTATTTTGATAAGCTTATATCAACCCAATTTGGTCGTTTTCTGCTCAGCTTGGCAGAAGTCATACGAAAATAAAAATTTATTAGTACGAATACGTTCTATTCAAAAACCAAATTATGTTGCAGATTGGTAAAGGTGAGTACTTTTATACTGTAGTTATTTTATTCTCGAAAAAGCTCCGCGACTTTGTTCTACAGATATCAAACTTTCACGTTTTTTTCAATTCTCGCCATATTGGGTGAAGTAGATCTGTTGAGTTACCAATAGTTACCACCAAGTATTGAGCAATTTTGATGCTACAATATTTGTAGTTTCTATGCTCATATTTTTTTTTACCGCACGTTGCCGCACCACTGAAAAAAAATAAAAAAAATTCAGGAGTCTCGCACCGGTTCTTGGGGTTAGAAGCTGCAAAGCCGGTCTGAAATGAACGTCGAACAGATTCATTATATGATGTCTTATTAGTTCCCTTTGATTTTCCATGGTGGTGTTTCACAAACGTTCACAAACGAAACGTTATAACCAAATAGAATGAATTCTTATTTATTATTTGTTCATGTTTTAAACTTTATCAATATAAGTACTATACCAGAATTCTCAATCTCTCAAAAAATTTATGTTTATTTGGGTTGGGTTCCTGTGGGTATGATAAGGCTAAAATTTTGTAGATCGGTAGTAAATTCAGTTAAAACACAATATCATTATTAAAATTATTGTTCTAGAACATTCCTATTCCAATTTATGTATGAGGTAGGAAGGCAACAATCTTTACATTCAGTATAATTTTACATACTAATATTATAAATAACAATTATTTCCCTTATTAAAAAAAAAAAATGAGTGTCCCTGTAATTTTTACATTTAAACGTGCTGGATGTGGAAACTGCTCATCATGTGCACACTATAACAATATATCACTGCTATAGGATCCTAGAGTCTTTTAGGTATCATTGCCACCAAAAGTTTCTGGGAAAAAAATATTGCAGAATAATCTCCTGGACTAATTCTTCCGTCATTCATTTCAATGCTTTTAATTCATAGTTTGACAAATATTTGACAATAAAATTCATATAATAGTACAAGATTTAATATGATACTGTCCCAGTTACTTTTGGTGACGATGGTACATGGTACATTATACAGAGCGCATAATACCTCTGTTACCTGTTACTTTTCAATTACCTCGTATACAGAAAAGTGACCTTGATGAAAGTTGCTCAGTACATTATTCCCTATATTTCTACCTGTATAAAATATGTCTTGTGTCATTTTTGGCTTGGTTGCCATCCAAAACAACTTTGTTTTTTCAAATAGAACGTCCTCTTTTCTTCTATAGTGAGACAACTATGAATTTCTTGTAGTTTTAATTTCCACGTATTTTCAACTGCTTAGTTAAAAAATAAAAAAATAAAAAACAGCAACTTTCATCAGGATCACTTTTTCGTATACGAGTAACTAAAACGTTACAGGTACTATAAGCGACTTTTTTGCCACTTTCTATATGTAAATGGAATAAAATCATCGAATAATAGTACATTATATACCTAGGTAGAGAAGTTGGTCATTATATACCGAGCGCTTTTATAAACCGAGACGCGTAGCGCCGAGGTTTATAATGCGTAAGGTATATAATGACTTTCTCTACCGTGGAATATATAGAATTTTTTTTACTACTGCTATAGTAGAAAATAAAAAATAAGTTTGAAATCTGAGCTCAAATTATTTTTTCTAGTTGAAAGTGCTGCTCTCTATCAACATCTATGGTAATTTCCTATGATACATACAGGAACCTGTTTTTTTGATTAAATTGACAGTTTGAAATTGAAATTAAATCAATAGAAACCTGTAAAGTTATGACAATATCCTTGCGTCATGACGTCATTTTCATTATTGACCTAGGTTTTTTTTCATTATTTTCATTATTAACCTAGGGAGAGAAATTCAATTTTTTCCGAGAAAAATAGATTGAATAATGACTACTTCTCAGGTTAGTAGTAAAAAAAATACATTTTTATTTCTTCATGTCATTTAAATAATACACCCGCAGGTTTATGGTCACAAAAAATGTACCCATGTTTTTTGGCAGTTTCAGTGAATTTAAAAAAAAACGTTGTACGATATTATATGAACAAAATAACAACCAACGATTTTACCATTTCAGTCCGGGTAGATTCAACAAATGATCTATTACTGTGCGCCTTTCTGCACTAACCCATAAAGCTAAAAAACAAAGCAAGCTACAAAAATACATATGGATACTATTTTTTGATATTGAAGTCTAAAAAAAATGCTACTGAGGTTTTGTCCCGCTAGAATTCAAATCCGCATCACTGTGCGGCGTTGCGTATACGCATCACCGGCCATAAATGGGTTAATAATTATATATAAACAGTAGCTATTCTATCCAAATACTACTATACGTTAAACGAGTCGGTAATTGATTTCACAAAGATATTAATTAGCTAATGAAGCTAAACGATGAGGGGCAATAGAAAAAAGGTAATAATAATTAACGGTAATTAATATTTATAAAGATATTAATTAGCTAATAAAGCTAATCGATAGGGGGCGATAGAAAAAAAGATAATAATAAGTAACGGTAATTAATATGGCACATTTACGGGACCAATAGGTAAATAATTATACAAGCCTGGACGGAATCCAGTAAAGCCTCGGAGGTTTTCACAAACTTGAGATCTGGAAGTACCAAACTGGCTGGAGAAAACCAAATAATTATTATTATTTATTTAATTTCACCCTTTCGAGCCCATACTCTAAACTGCAGCCTTTTATAGGCTTTTTGTATTTAATTTGTATGGGCTCTACTCCTTCTCATTCATACTTATCATTCATACTTGGAGATCCGATGATTGGCGGCAGCGCGGCGACCTACCGTCCCGTACTACTGCGGTCACCCATCCAATCTCCAACCCGACACCACGTTGCTTGGCTTGAGTAGGCCGTCTCTCACGTCCTTGATCAAGAACCAACGTGCCGGTTACAACCAAATAATGGTTGAGGATCTACTTCTTATAGGACACCAACATTCCTTGGAAAGGGGGCCCAGATTTATTCTGAGAGAACAGCATGGTCTCAAATTCGTTAATTTTCACTCAGAAGTGCAGGCGCGGATTTTTCATCCTGTCCAAAGTTGCCTGAATTAATTGAAGAAATATAAGGACTCATTCATCAGAGAGAAAAAGGGATGTACATACCTGAACGGCCGACAGTTAACCTCACTTTCAAAAATCTTCACAAAAATCAACAATCTGTTGATTTTCCAGCTGACACGATTAATCACTCTTCTGGCTAGTTAATTTATAAAACTCTGGGCTCGATGGCCAAAAATAAAAACAAAATTTTTGGATTTTTAAGATTAAAAATTTGGACGACCGTCTCGGTCCCACGACAAAAATAGAAAAAGCAAGTCGAAAGTACCCAAAGTGGTTCTATCTTTTCTTTCTTTATCTGTCAGGCTTGTCGAAATCATAAAAATGACATCGCTGCAGGTTACTCGGGAATAATGGAATAGGACAAGTACACGATCTGACAGTCTGACACTATTGACAGTCGCCTTGAGGTAAAACAAAGATATAATTTACAGTGTTTTTTAAGTTTTTAGTTAGATTTTTTTAAATAAATACCTTTTGTGTGCTCCAGAAGTTTCTTGGACATGCCTAGAGTTTGTTTAGTTGTTAATTGTGGCAGTATAGCGCAAGGGATACAATATCCCTCCATAGGTTTCCATCAATTTTAAATAACAATGGGAGGTTTGATTTGTTAGCTCAAGAAAGAAGAGAAAAATTGAATAATGATCATAAAAGAGGAGATCTGACAGAAAAATAGATCGAATATAGAGATATATTTATTCTTGTGACACTTGGTATTGATATTTGTTGGAAAAAAACCTGAATTTAATTCATTATAGGAAAACCTAGCAAACTTTTAGATAAAAGACCACATAGACTGGAACACAAACACTCTGCTCTAACTTTTCTAAAATAAATTAACACCAAAACTTGTAAAAAAGCTGTGAAACCTGCATAAAACATAACCGGCCTAATCTACAAGAATGTTAATAAATGATTTGTTATACCTCAGGGCGACTGTCAAACTCATTTGTGACGTCACATGGACATGCCCTATTCTCGATTCAATGATATTAGGTTAGGAAAACTAGTCAGAAGAATCATAGATGTCGCTAGGTGTACGAAATAGTCCTTTTAAATGATTCCCAGCCGAAAGTGAACCATTTTAAATGGTTATAACTTTTAAACCAGGTGTGCTAGCTACCCGCGGTTTGCGCCATTCGATTTCTCTTGGTCTAAAGTTTTTTCTAGTAGGTTGCAAATTTTTTTGAAACCTATACAGGGCAAGTGAAAAAAAATCAGTTTTTCAACATCAAAATTCTTCACTATTTTTAATGGAACACCCTGTATATCACAACGTCAAAAAAAATATTAATATTCAAGGTATCCATGTACCAATAGACATCGTTCCTAAAACTTGAAGTTTTAGAGGTAAAAAATCAAAATCGAAATCTTGGTATTTTTGCAAACCCGTGTAACTTTATGTTGTAGGTACTTGATATGACAAAGAACTTTGTAACTATCTAGTAACATATCAATTAAGTTAAAATACAATTTCCAGTAGTAATATAACTAGTGCATGAAATATTTCCGGAAATTTTTGAAAATTTTGTTGGTTTTGTTTAAAAAAATTGGCTGAAGACGATATTTTTAAAAATTTCCCTTAGGAAATATTTTATGCACGTGTTATATTTTGATAGGAAATTTCCCGAGTTTGAAGTTTATTTACTACGTTGTGTCGAATTTTTTTATTGATGCTGATTGTTATTGATCTTTTCCATTTAAATTTCGTTTGTCAAAAATATATACTTTGGCAGATTTCTGACATCAATGCGTTTTAAATGGAAAAGCGGGCATCAATTTCAAAAATGACAATTCTGGAAATTTTCCCCGGGATATTTCCAAAAATTTCCACTTATTAATTTTGACAATTTGTATGCAAAATTTCCAGTGTAATTTGCACAAGGGAAATTTCCAGTAGAAATATAACTAGTGCATAAAATATTTCCGGAAATTTTTGAAAATTTTGTCTGAAGCCAATTTTTT